GTCAAGGCTTCCCGAGACTCGCCTTTTTCTCCCTGGGGTGCTGGGCCCTAGGTGGGCGTGGGGGATGCCCCAAGAGGGCCGCGCCTTGGGCTCGGTGCTCGCGGGAGGGTGCGTGGCGGGAGTCCCAGCACACAGCCCTGGTGTCGTGCCCCCCCCCCCCCCCCCCCCCCTCAGAGCAGCACGTGCTGGAGCAGCTGGAGCGGCAGGCCGTGCTGGTGTACACGCCGTCGCGCAAGGTGAGCGGCAAGCGGGTGGTCTGCTACGACGACCGCTACATCGTGAAGGTGGCCTACGAGCAGGACGGCGTCATCGTCTCCAACGACAACTACCGGGACCTGCAGAGCGAGAACCCCGAGTGGAAGTGGTTCATCGAGCAGAGGCTGCTCATGTTCTCCTTCGTCAACGACCGGTAAGTGGGGGCCCCGGGGTCCAGGTGCAGGGCAGGGGGACCCCTCCAGCCTGGGTGCAGCGGGCCTCCCAGAGGAAGCCATGCAGACACTCGCTGGAGACGGGGAGATGGGCTTCTCTCTGTCGGTCTGGGTCTCCCCATCGTTCCCATCCTGGCTGTTTTGTGACTTGCTGTGCCCATGCCCACGTCCAGCTCTGCAGGTGACCCTTGGGGGAGAGCACCCGTGACAATGGGCCCCAGTAGAAACCACCACCCCATGAGTGGGGTATTTGTATGGGCATAAGTGTCTCCTGGGGACAAAAGTATTCATATGAAAAAGGAGGCTCACGTGCAACAGGGGGTGTCTTCCTTCTGAGGAATGCGGCTTCCCCTCTGGGCTGTGGGCGCCCAGGAGGCTTTCCATCCTAACAGCTACCCCAGGCACCTCTAGATGATCCAGAGCCCCCCAGCTTGCAGAGGAGACTGTGTGGGGTCCACTCTGTCACCCACTCCAGCTGGCATCTGAAACGGTGCAATATTTATCGCTCACCTCTTTATGCCCGAAGCTGGGGGGCAACACACGGAAAGAGGGGGCTGGAGCCTCGCGATCTGTTTGCAGCCCCACAAAGTGTCCGACCTTGTGCTGAGACAGCGGGAAGGCAGCTTGGCGTCTTTCCTTCCCCGGCCCAGGGAGCCCTGGAGCCCCTGGAGCAGCTGTGCGTGTCTATTGGTGCAACAGCCGGAAGCTTCTTGCATGCAGATTCCTGAACAACCGGAGGCCCTGACTTATAGGCTTCCTGTGAAGAGAGGCCAGGGCTGCCTTGCTGGGCCCTGGGGCTTAGTGAAAGAGAGGGAGGGCTGCGAGGCTTTCAAATGTGATGACAACTCGTTGGCGGAGGGAGCCGGGGTGGGGAGCCAGGAGGAGTGCGTGCCTGGTGCTGCCCTTCCTTTTTGGGGTAACTCAGTTCTGCTCCCAATATAGGTGCCAGTGGCAAGTCCCTGTGGGTCTTGACGTCGCCTCCCTCTGCCTGTTTTCCAGGTTCATGCCTCCGGATGACCCCCTGGGCCGCCGGGGGCCCACCCTGAGCAACTTTCTGAGCAGGAAGCCGCAGCCCCCTGAGCCGTCCTGGCAGCACTGTCCCTACGGTGGGTGCCCTGCCCTGGCCCTGCTCAGGGCTTGTGTCCGGGCAGTCAAGTCACAGGCAGAAGCTCTGGCCTGGCGTCAGCACTGTGGGCTCTGGGCTGGTACCACCCAAGCCAGCCGTGTGACCCTGGAGAGGTAACAACCTCTCCGGTCAGTGTCTCCTGGCAGGGTCGCTGTGGGGTGGCCTGGGGTCCTGGACACCTGTTGCGTTGTGCGGGGCCACACGCAGTGTGAAGCTGTCTGAGAAGCAGGGGGCTACGTCCCAGGCTGAGGGGCTTGCTGCCTGGGGTGCTCAGGTCAGGCTACAACACCAGAGTTTTTGAGAAGAGAAATCAGCTTTGTTGCAGGCTGATTGGCAGGGAGGTGGAAGAGCCAATTAAGAAAGGGAGGAAGGTCCTTCAGGCTGGGGACAGGGTGGGGAACAGAAGCACCCCATTTTACTGACTGTAGAGGGGGGAAGCAGCAGAGAAACCTGCGCTGGGCCAGTTACAGGGGACTACCAAGGGGCTTTTTCCCAAAACTGAGGGTTTGCATAGAAATTCGATCCCCTGTAGGGTGTGCCCTCCCCCGAAATTTGTAGATTCCCGGTTCCTAAGGGGCTGGAGCTCACCTCAGGGCTACCTGATAAGCCTCCCTGTAAAAGCAAGTCTCAGAGAAAAGTTTAGTTTTTTCTTCTTTAGTGTTCTTGGGTCTGAGACCAATTTAAGCACTTAGGCTCTGTTATAGCTGTGGGTACCCCCAACCCCAACCTCCCTTTCCTCTTCAGCTGGCATCCTGGCACCTGCATCTGCACCCTCATCCCCCTTTGCCCTCCCCATCCCCACCCCCACCCATGGACTTAGGTCAGTGCTGTCTGTCTGTCCACGAACAGTTCAGGGTTCTGTCCTTGAGTGCCCAGGGACACCAGCCTTCTGGACAACCTGCTTTGGCATGTTCTTGATGTCCCCAGTTCTTGATACTTGTTTCTAGAAGTGCAACAAAGCCTTAGGCGGCTTCCGAAGTCCTTTGCATCCAGGCGGGCCCATCTTACCCTCTCTCCTGTCTCAGAAGTGTCAGCTTTGGAGGACACTCATTTGATCACTCGCTGAGTAGTCTGTAAGGAGAGGGCGGTAGGTAGTCCTGGATGTGGACACACTGGAAATTGAGGCGGCCTGGGATCCCCACTCTTGTGCCATCAGCACCCAGTCCCCACCTCCCAGCCTGGCCCTTAGTGGAGGGTCCCTGGGGAAGTGAGGCTAAGGCCGCTGGATCCAGAGACCTGGTCTCAGCGCCTGGTCAGAGTCCCTTACTGCACCCACCTTGTGCTGGGGAGTGGGTAACACGAGGTTACCATGTCGGGGCCCAGCACCCCAGGAAGGGGGTGCTGCAGCCTATACCTACCATTCTGCCTTGCTCTGGGCCACGCCTGCTCACTTCCTCCCGTTGCAGTCTTGATTTCTCTTCTCAGACCTGGATGCCTTCCCGGAGGAACCCCCAAGCTGAAAGGCCAGCCAGAGCGGGGCGAGCACCGGCCAGACGGCACCCCAGCCTCCCTGAGCCCGGGGTCTCACCACTCATCCTCTCTCTCCCTTGTTCCTTCCAGGCAAGAAATGCACCTATGGCATCAAGTGCAAGTTCTTCCATCCCGAGAGGCCGCGCCAGACGCAGCTGGCGGTGGCTGACGAGCTGCGCGCGCAGACGCGGGCCTGGCGGGGCGCT